GGGAAATGTCCGCGACTTTCAACATGTTCAAAACGCCAGTATTTACAACCCAATGAATTTGAATAAGTCTGAGAGATGCTCTGAGATGATGTTTCTTACATGAATTTGAGCTCGGTCGATAGCTTTCAGGCACCACATGATTCAAGTGAAGAATCTCCTTACTCTCCTTCGCATGTCTGTTATTGTTTTCTTTCTATTTTTTCTGATTAGGGGGAGAGGGAGGGGAGGGGATATCATTCTCGACTGCATTTCGGTCCATAAAGCAGATAAAGACGCAACTGAAAACAATACCTTACCAGTCATCTTAACCTCACACTTGGTCAATAATCCACACACAATGTATTTGATGTAGGTCAGGACCGGGCAGGCAACACCATGGGGATCTCATTAGGTACCGGTATTTAGGTTTTCCGTGCTTAAGTTGAAAGCGTAACTGGGACACGTGCGGGAATATGACACGTTCAGGACACGTTCTGCGGCTTGGCACAACCTCGTGTGGTGTACTTGGGAAAATTGGCAACGCTTTGTTTAATCTCGGTTGGAAGCGTTAACTTGCTGACTTGTGTTAATTTCACGATATTTTTCCTGTTCTTCTGAGCACTGTATGGTTCATTTATTGCGAGGAGAGCTTTTGATAGATCTTGATATGAGTGCACATGTCGGATTGTTCCTCTTAAAAATTTCGCATTTTTCAAAATTCAGGTTTGGTAATCCAGAAAGGGACTACAAAGGTCTGGTTTTAACAGTGAGGCGGGGGAGTTCGCCATTTTTTTGCCCCCACTTTCACTTGCATGGAAAGTGAGTGCCTCAGTATTGCTCGAGGATGTAGGTGGGGGTGGGGTGGGTGCCGGGTGTTTGGGTCGGAGGCATTGACACGGTTAGCAATAGGGGCAATTTGTTCTGATGGGGGATTGACATCAGTTTAATTCTGGGATCCATAGCACGCAGTGACTCCGCTAGCGACCACTAGCAGGTTAGTAGGGTAGTTCGTCAGCGCCCAGGTTCGTTGTATAATTTCGTTTATGATCCTAGAAAGATAAATCCTAGTTGTTCCTTCTGTTATTTGAATCGTTTAGCTGTAAGCCTCTGGCCTTGTTACAACAAGGATACATTTGAGTCATGTATTTCGCAACATCAAAACGTCAATGGCTATTATCTTTATCACTCAGCGTGTAATAGATTACGACTCACGTAGTTGTCTCCGCTGATCACTGGAGTAACACTTGCACTCTTTCACTCTGAAATGGAGTTCGCTGCGAAATTTTTCTGCATTTCGTTTTGTATTTGAATCCTACAGTTGAAGTCCTGCCGTGAATGATAAGCCTACACCAAGCCCGGTAAGGTGTCACCTACTTTGAGTGCCTGTTTGGGAACATCATGAAATCACATTACCTTTATCTCACCTGTGATCTATGTATTTCCACGAGTAATATTTTAATTCCGTTCTTTAACATTCATTTTCACCTGGCGAATATTGAGCTAGAGCAACTAAAATAGTGTTCAAGATCATTGTAAAATTTAGTTGCTTGGGTTTGCTGGCGGAATCACAACGAACCCGCTAGCAAAGCAGGGTAAAAGTTAGTTCGAATAGCATTACGTAAGCATAAATTACTTGCTGCATTTCAGTTACTGATAAAATGATTCACTGTAAATTTTGATAATTAAACGGGCTTGTGTAATTCAGACAATTCATAAGTTGTTCTCGAAATAAAACTAATGAACATTTTTTTGTAACAGCAACTAACAAAAATTGCTTGTAATGCACAACAGGGAAATACTGATTTACCCCAAAGTTTGACCGTCAGTGACTAAAATCTAAACAGGAAATAAACTTGTTTCCCACAGCTGTATTACGGACGAAGTGTAAATGTATATGACTAACTGGGCTTGTTCAAGTCGCCGTACTTTGATCTCGTAATCACGGCCAATCAGTGGTGTTTATATAGCGTAACAGTAAACAACTACACGTATGCAACTGGGATATGTTTACCGGCAAACTGTCATTTACCGCAAATCCAAACAGAACATGAGTCAGTAGTTAATCTTTTGAGCTAATTATCGGTATGGCAGGCGCAAGTCCGTCGGCACGCAAAAAAATCGAATTCGTTTGCTTGAAACCAATGTTTTAAGAAAAGCTTTTTCACTTTGGTTATTGTAAACTAGAGCTCCACGTTTAAGAGAAAGTAAAGATTTTCAGAGTGTGGAATAGAAACGTGCTCTCTGAATGTTGTCATCTGTAAGTTCAATTAGTAAGCGCCTTAGCTCTTGAAAACAAATGTTAACACTAGTATCACTACACTGTTAGCATGCTGTGAAGTGCAAGTGATCTGATCATTTGAGACGATAATTTGTCAGTATTTGGTCAAATAAAGCGTGAAATGTTCAACTGGAATAGAAAAACTGCTCATTACATGGGGGGGAGGGGGAGGGGGGATTAACGCGCCGAGGACCTCCTGAAGTAAGCCAATAAAGTTGCATTCATAAGCAAAGTTTTTCATGCGGGGTTTGAATTTTATTAAACAAATTAGCCGTTTTCGTTTCGTAGTAGAATAAAAATCATTTGTTTCAATGCATGCTTTGACGTCACGAGTGCATGTCTCACGGCATACAGTAAACATTAAAACACTTACATCAGCTTTCTCTCGAAGAGGTTTGGAAAATGGACTCGATAGAATGGCATATTTTACAGTGTAGTCTGAAATAATTCAGATGATTGAACACTTAACGTTTTTTCTCGATTAAAGTCTCCCGATTGGAATTGTAAATAAGCAGATCAGGCATTTGCAAGAAGGAACAAGCTTTAGGTGAAGTGGCATCCATGAGTGGCAAGTTATCATATGGCTGCCAAAAATAATGAACAACTTGAATAAACCGCTGGAGTCAGACGAACGCACAGTCCACCAGGCCAAGTTTGAAATTAACGCTGGGGCATTTAACTGAAAAAATAAGATATTAGTTGGAAAAACTCGTTTCTTTGGAATGCAATCCTCTGACAACTTGCTAACATTCTCCTTTCACTAATTGATCGTGTTCATTAAATAAGGAAACATTAACATAACTTTGTCAACTATCGGTTTTACAAATGAGAAAGATACCCCATTGCAATTTCCGGAAGAACTAATTTGCTCTGTTCTCTGTTCAACAGCTACTGGCTGCATATTTGTGGAATTGCCGCAGTTTACTTTCTGCAAAGCAATGACAAACTCATTTTTGAAACAAGTTGTTACAGCTTTTGTTAGCTCTATGATACTGTTAAACAGTGATTTATCTATACCGCCCGTTACTGGTGCCGCTCAAACGAACACTGCTGCTAAACAGATAGCAGACTGTTTACATGAGGTATTCGAGAAAAATCTCGGATTCAAACATCTACAGAAACTCTACGATTCACTTTCTTGCGCCAATCAAGACGTCGACGCCTCAAAATTGCTTCACAGTATAACTGAATCCGCCTCTGCACGATTGAACGCTTCTGTAAGGGTTTTGAAGGATCACAGTAGAAGGTTACAACAAGTTTCATCAGAAACTCAAAAAGTAAATATTGTCAGATGTTGTCGCGGACTCAACGATACAAGTGGCTCTTCTCACTTTAGTGATAAACTTCGCTCACTCGTGGATCTATCTACAGGCTGTTCTATTACTCAATCATCTTTACAAAGCGCACAGAACAATTCCAGACTCAATAATGAGTTATTAAATGGGTTTAAGAGGAACTTTAACAAGTCTTCAATCGTGGCGTGGCAATATTACGGATCCATAGATGGCGAGTATTTACAGTATCCCGCGAGTACACGATACTGTAATGGCAACACTTCAAATTTCGACCCGAGGTTCAAGTAAGTGTGATCCTTACGAGTCACCTACGTATAAGTAAACTTTAAACAGTCGGCTCTAAGTAGTACAGAACAGAAGATGAAACATGATAGTCCGTGAGTGACTTTCTTTCATAAGCCCTATTTTTCAAAACGTTCCTGATTATTGAAAAAAAAAAAAATTTTGCTCCCTTGGCAATCAGGCAGGACATATTTTCCCTCCATTTCTTGAACCTATTCTGATTCCCTTGCTGGTTTGAAATAATGGGAATTTATTGCAGTCATTAGTTACCCTGGAATTTTAAAATGAATCTCAACCTGCAGGAACAAAACTGTCTTTTAAGCCAAAGTTTTAGAAATCGCAAACAGACAAACAACCTTACAAACTAATTAACTTAGTAACTTACTAACGAACAAGAAAACAACAACAACTGGAACTTTAACAATTCCGCTTCAGTAGTGCTTTTTTGCCTAAGTGCTTTTGGGGAAAACAATAACAAATATGTTTAAATAAATAAAAAACAACCAAACAACTGGACTAAAAACACTGGTGACAAACAGATATATGCAGTCTGTAGCTTTTAAAGGAAGGCACCTCTTTCTCTGCAGATCTTGAGGATTTTCAGTTAGTGACATCATCTACAAAGGTTTTTGGTTCTCGTAATATTATCTGATCGATCAATCTAGTTTCCTCAGCTTCAAAAATATAATTCGATACCCCTCCCCCATAATAAATACCTATCTAGAAAAACTCTGCCTCCGGTAAATGTCTGATAGACAGGAATACGAAAGCTTAAAATTAGCACGCTTCCGTAAAGCTCTAGACTACGAGTGGTCCCTTTTTCGCTTAGTCCGTCGTGCGTGACGCGAAAGAAAACCGAAATCTCAACATAGAGTCTAGGGTAGAATCTAAGGAATGTGTCGTATTGAGACACTGAGTTGTTTTAGGGCGTCTAGTCTAACTAACGTATTTGAACATTCATCACATGTCCAAGTCTGTGGTATTGCTGTTGTGCTTCTGTAATCCAGATCATGGTACGTGGAAACAGCTTCACCTGTTAACAAGAATCTGGTCATTATTATTGATCGCAGCGGTTCAATGTCAGGGACGAGAATGAAGCTGGCTATTGATGCAGCCCTTACAGTGTTGGACACACTCTCACCGCAAGACAATGTAAGTGATTACGGTATGTAATAAGGTCGTTACAAGCACGGCAAGTCTGACCAATTTTCATATCCTTCTTGAGTTCACGTTACATACTTATTCTCGAGTTTTTCTCATTACTATTTCAGTTCCTTACGGTATCTGAAATATGAAGTGTCAAAGAATACGGTAAAAGCCAAGTACAAAGCGTCTTTTATGTCGTTAATTTGAATGTCGAGGAAAAGGTTGTTGTTATTCATCGTGGTGGATGCAATAATAAAGTGTATTATCGTTTGTCTCACGATGTAGTCACTTGAGATGTAGATCGCGACGTTTCGACTGCTTACTGCTAGTCTTTTTCAGGCGATAAG